TATATATATATATATATTTTAGATAGATACATAGAAGCAGTTCGTTCTCTTCTTGGTTAAACCCGCTATGAAGGAGTCGCCAGACGAGAAGATTGCTTTTCTATATCGCATCGATGTCTCTCTTTATCTTTATCTTTATCTTTTTCCTTTTCGTTTTCTTTTTATTTTTCTTTTTCTTTTTCTTTTTGTTTCCACCAACCGGTACTCAACTCTACTCACTGTTTTCCATTTTATAAGGAATTATAAAAAGAAGGTGTGTCGGAAGTATAAGCGTGAAAGAAGGCCGAAGCTGTTGCAGTTCGCTGAACCAATCTTCGAAGCCGAGGAATAAATAACCGTGTCGTACGATTTGACAGTTCGGTGAAGACGTATATCATTGAAAGGTAAGATACGGTTTGTTCGCGTATTATCATTAATTTTTTTTACTTTCTTTCCTCAGTTTTCGTTTTGTTTGTTTTGCGAATGACGCGGCGGGGGTAACAATGCGTGGTGTTTCTTAGTTTTGTGAAAAGTACCGTAAAAGGAGATATTATCTTTTTTCACTACGACGATCAAAAACACTATTACCGATCATCGCGTGTAAAATGTTGATTGACGTTACGAAGGTCGTTGTGTGTAAAAAAAAAGAAAAAAAAATTTCTACTCGATTTTTAACGAATAAAATAATAATGACACCATTGATTTGTTGGTTAAAATATAACAGATGTCTCTGTTACTTTTTATATTTCCAGTCTTCATTTTTTATTCGCAATCGTACGTGACATTCTCGAACGTTGCCGGAGAAGGTCGAAAGATGAGAACGACTCGTGGGACTCGTAAAAGTTAAGAAGAAGAAGAAGAAGAAGAAGTCTCTGGCAAAAAAATCTTGCGGCGAACGATCTAAAGAAAAAAAAAAAGGAGAAATGGAAAAAAAATTAGAGTAGGAGAGGGTGGGTAAAAGAAGAAGAAGAAGAAGAAAAGAAAATAAAAAAAAAAAAAAAAGCATTTGCTCGAAGAATAAAAGGAGTTTTTCGCACGGCTGGTCTTGAAAAATATATTCGGCAGTATGTGTGGTGTGGCTGACAGCTAAACTTTTACGGGTTTCTATTAATGGAACTATGACATGTCCGAGAAAAGAAAAAGGAAGAAGTGGGAAAGGGAGAGAAAACATATCACGTGTCTCGTATATACTTGGCACGATGTTGAAGAAGAAGATGCTGCTGTTGGCTGAAGTGGTATCGTACAAGGCTTGATAAAAAAAATAACAAGATAGACAGTTGGAGAAAGAGATAGAGATTATATTCCGTTGCTTTTCTTCTTAGTTCAGATACTGAGATAACACATCGCTCCTTCCTGTTTTCTTTGTCAATGACTTAACATAGAACGAAGTCATTTAGTCTACGTGAAACACGATACATGACGAATCGCAGCACGCCTAATCGTTTTCAAAAGTAAGCATTCTGAAAATTAAGTTTCTTTTTATATCGTTCTTATATATATTTATTCATATAAAATTAACACATAAAAACGAATCATTGCAAAGATTCGAGAGATATATAATATCGAGTATTAAATTATTCAAAAAAAAAAATAAATGAGCATGATATTAAACATGGTTAATGATCGTAACGATCGATAGACAATTGATATAAATTTATCGAGGACATTCGCGAGCAAGGACACTTGAAATTTTATTCTCGCGTTCACCGATAATGAGCTCGGTTGCTGAAAGATAAAGATAAAGAGTGAAGGGAGAAAAAAAAAAAAGAAAAAAGAGAGAGGGAGAACATGAATAATTCATGAATACTCGATTCGATGTAGATACATGACTCGGTGCGAAAACGATGACCGATTATCGACAATCATTTTTCGCGAAGCTCTTACTACGAGCTACTTCTTCGAGAAGGTATCGAGAAAGTATCAAGAAGGTATGTCGCCTTGTTGAATCGAGATTAAAATTGAGGAGGAATCGAGATTTAATGAAAGGCCGCGCAGCTTTCGATGCTGGGATCCATAACTATCGATACGACCGATCGAAACGAGAGAGAACCGTTACTTAACTACGAAACGACTATGATTATCCATCATCTCTCTCTTTCTTTTTTTCTTTCTCTTTCACCCCCGCGTAATTGATATGCTACAAAGGTATTTTCATCTCTACGTATATACACAATCGTATTATAATGTAAACGCGTGCGTGTTACTACCAGACATATCAACAATAACGTATGTATGCATTTATGTGTATATATGTGTATGTATATATAGCGTCGGTAGCTTGGAAATAATTATATGATTATATTCTCTGCACCCGCGAGTGGTGGTAATCGAGCGAGGATGCGTAATCTCAATGATAATAATCGTCCGAGAGTTTACATCGTTTGTTGCTTTATTCGTTGGAATGTGATACAGAATTATTATAGTTCATCGTTAGCAGCGACATTAACGTTTTAAAAATAAATATATATATTTTTTTTTCTATGAATGAAATATTTTTTTATTCGATCAAAAGTAATTAGACGAGTAGGATTTATTCGTCGTTATCATTCGTATTTGATAATCGACTTTTATTATATAAAAATTAAAATTGAATCGACTATACAAGAAACTACGAAATTTAATTTGTCAGATAGATATAAACAACGATATTTACGATATTTCTCAATACTGAAAATTGAGCGAAAAGTTTAGAGGGAAGTACTTACTTGTAGATGAACCTGACCGTTGTTGTCCACCCAACCAATAACCATGTCAGCTCCCTCTCGACCATCCTCCTTCTTGAAACCGAGCCCGACATAACCAAGGGTCTTCACTTGAATCTCGAAAGTTACTTCCTTGTCGCCTGGTGTCCACAGAACGAGAAAATTATTGTCCAAGATCGCGCTGTGTTTCCACTCGACGCAAAAAACGGTGTTCAAGAGGAAAAGAACGAACGACAACGTCAAATATTTCATTTTTCCTTCTTCTTTTTTTTCTCTTCTACTTCTCTTAATAGCAAAAACGTTGGAATTAACTGCCTCTCTTCAGTGCATCTGGAAATGAATAATAAAGAAACAAAATGTAATAAAGTGTTAGAATATTGAATTAAACAAAAATATGCAAAATATCGATGGTATTTTTTAATCGAATAACAAAAATCAATTCTGGCTTTTAGTTATCGCCGCGTTTTTGGGTACCCATACTTCCGTCGTTATTCATATTCTTTTGTTCGTAACGGTTAAACTTTGGTCGGTGGAAACGAACGAACGAACCCACCCTCCCTCCCCTTCAAACTGCCTCCACCTCCGATCGATATTATGGTCAAAAATTTCCGCCCTTAGAAATATAAAATCATTTCCATGTGTACTACACCTATAAATAGGAATTGAAATTTTTATTATATATGTAACGGTAAAAGTTTCACCTTAGTAAAAGATAAAACTTTTGTTTCTAAACTACCTCCGGATATTTACTTTCAAGCATGATATATCGTGTTACAGTTTAATACAGTACTCGAGAGTCACTCCACCGGTAACCCCGGCTCGTGCTACTTAAAACTTTTTAACGCGATCGCGCAAAGAGAACAAGCAACATTTTCTTTTCATATTTTAGTTTCTACTACGCATCTCATTGTGTAGACGAATATATACCACGATACGGGATACGCGTTCAACGTACAAATGACGCAAGAATAAATGAATTCATTTCAAATAGAATTCATCAGACAGTAACAATTCAGTCTCAACGAGTTGAAAATATTTTTACGGTACAAAAAAAAAACATACTCTTACAATTCGTGTACTACTAGTAGCTGTTAATAATAAAAAAGAATAGGACTAATTTAAGATCTCGCGGTTATAAACAAAATTACTCGCGTTAGGGAAGAAACATCGTAATAGATTTATTTATTGCTCGTTTGTATTCATAAACATATGTTACGTTGTATTATTTATCCGGTTATTCTCCTCGTTTCTTTATCAAGTCATATTAACCCTTTTTCTCCGTTTATTGAGAAGATTGAATGAAATAAGAGAGAGAGAGAGAGAGAGAGAGAGAGAGAGAGAGAGAGAGAGAGAGAAATATAAAAAGATGTTGACCATGTTTCTGTCTAGAATTAGAACGTTGCATGGTGGTGTGAATGAGAACAAAGAGCGAGAATAAAAAGAAAGAAAAGTTAAGGAATAAAATGATAAAAGACGAGGAAGAGTAGGACGAGGAATGAAGAGATACGCAAATAATCGGTTCGACGGGGAAACTGCTGAAAATGGAGTTTCTAACTGAGTGAATGCTTAAAGGGAAAACGTCTGGTTATTCGTTGACGTATGTCGTACGAGACCTACGAATAAAAGGTTGTAACTTTATAACAGACGAATGGATGAAGAAGAAGACAGAATATAAGAAGCGACGATAAAACCGTGTAATTTACATTTTTACCAATCGGACGAGTATGACGGGCAGAGAAGCGCATATTGTTAAACAGGGTCAACGAGCGTTTCATCAGACTATAAACGAAGACATTAAATGTGTTCCAGTTAGTTTGATCTCTTATTTTGAAAAAAAGAAAAAGTATAACAAAAGGAAATGAGCGAGAAGAAAATTGGCGTTTAAATTTTGTATCGTGTTTTTCTCGTACGAATTTGTTCTTTTCTTTTTTTTTTTTGCCATAAAAAACCAAAAGAATATATTGCCAAATAAAAGGACATTAACGAAAAGAAAGAAGAAAAAGATGGAAAGTGCAAAAATTGACTTTCGGATCTAAAGTCCGATGTTGAGCATATTTGTTTTTCCTCAGAGAAAAATTGGTTATGTCAACGTTTGGTGAATGAAAAAGCGGGTTAGCTGCTGCTGTTGCTGCTGCTGCTGCTACGGCCTCGTATTTTATTCCTATAACTCGATTATATATTTTTTCCAAATATCTTGCATTTTGATAAGCAAACACGTTTTAACCCTTCCGGTATTCGCTAAATTGTTACGCTTTCGAATTCTTCTTCTAAAGGCTATTCATATTTTCAATTTTATTTTTGTTTTTATTTTGCCTCTCTACATCGTGATATAAACGTAAATGAATAAAAAAAAGATGAAAGAGAGATAGAGAGAGAAAGAAAAAAAAAGGGAAGAAATAATTTAACAAATAAAGTAGATTAAAATCTTAACTTTTTGGGGTGGACTATGGTGACACGGAGCGTTATAAACGCTTAACGAGTCGAGTCGAGTACAAATTGAGTAGGTACAGGGTAGTAGAGAAGTGTCGTACTCTCGTTAAAAGCGTTTGCACGAGATAGAAACCTGCTGTCTATCTGTCTCTCTCTTTCTCTTTCTCTCTCTCTCTCTCTCTCTCGTGTTCGTTCGTCCGAAAGGAAAGACCTCTTCAAAATCACGAGTAGCTACAAGTTTGGAGAATTTCGTATGGTCGTTGGTTGCCTCTATGTTGAATCTATTCTACAGAATAGTATAGTCGCTGCTTTTATCGTAAACAGATCAATTTAAAGCCGGTATCGGTCGGTCGGTTGATACTCGCGATTAACCTTTGCCTAGTTGAGTTAGATTGAAATCGAGTAATTATACCTACTAGTCTCGCGAATTCTATTGACAGAGATTTCACGCGGGAAGGAGGGGGTGTGGGGAGGTGATGGATTGGCAAGAGAAATAAATCCCTCCTACTATCGATAAACACAAATTTTATAATTTTCTACACAACGATTGTAATATTTAAATGCATATGCGACATATGCGAAAAATTGAAAAAAAAAGAAAATTTATAAAAATGATTCGTAATTATTCATTCCTCCTATCCAAGATACGATTATCTTTGTTGTCATTTTTATTCGATTGTGAACGTCCAACGAGCGTTTAAATTACATTTCAGAAAAAAATATCAGTCAGATGATAATCTTTCTCGATCCACGTATATCGAAGAAAACAAATGTTTTTTCTCCGCCCCCGACACATTTAGTTATTAATTGAACTATATTATACAATAGAACGTTCGTTAGAAAATTCATCGAAAGATCGTTCTCGATCTTAACAGTATATATATCTTCAATTGATTCTCATCGTTAAAATCTATTCTCGAGTAATAAGCGAGCAATAGAATGATCTCGTAATTAACAGACGCATTTTCTCACACACATCTAACGTTCATATAAAAACGATCGATTCAATTAACAACAATGTAATATCAATGTAATAATGTACATTCGGATGACGTGTTTTATTTCTGTTAGGAAATACCGATAGTGATGATGCATCATCCATTCATTTATCGTGCAGCAATGCAATCTGTCGATCGGACTCGAAAATCGTCGTTACCAACACCACCACGCGTAAAGAAGAAAACTTGGATAGAAATTAAAAAGGACGCGGGGGAGGGAAGGAGGGGGACAGGTGGATGAAATAATAAGTTGAAAAGAAAAAAGATGGGAAGAATATGTGACGATTGTGAAGGTGACTACTACTACTACTACTAGTGCTGAGTAGGTGGCGGTGGTGGTGGTGGTGGTGGTGGTGCAGTTTCCGAGCTTCGGCAGCGGCTTTGATTTGCGTCGTGTCGTTCAGTCGATTGCTCTCAAATTGCGTCCAGTACCGGTGTGGCATCAACCTGAAACGTCCAACAACCCCCTCGATACACTCCTCATCCCCTTCTACCTTACCCCACCTCCTACTCCGATACTTCCACCAAAATTCCACACCCTCTAGCAACACTCACGTAGACATTCTGTGCGAGCGGTTAGAGACTCTCTCTTTTCCTCTCTCTCTCTCTTTCTCTTCTCTCTCTTCTCTTTCTCCCGTTCTCTCGATTTTCCACTCCCTTTTGTAGAAAACGCGACGCCTCGTTTCGTCTCGTCTCGTCTCGTCTCGCCTCACCACACCTCACCTCACCTCACCTGTCCTCCCACTTTTCCACAACCAAACTTCTTCTCCTATTACTCTCTCTCTCTCTCTCTCTCTCTCTCTCTCTCTCTCTCTCTCTCTCTCTTTTTTTGTTCTTTCTCACTCTCATTCATACAAAAACCTCTAGTGCTTGCCGGGTTAAATAAATCGACGAGCGTGTTCGGTAAAACGTCCGAAATCGAAATGGTATATACGTTTTCGTAGTTTCACGCTCGCATGCTATTCGCAACAGGGGGAAAGAGAGAGATTGACGTTCGCTAGAACGGAGTTTTAGATATATATATATATATACGGAGTGAGAGGTGAACGGTGATTAGTCGAGGTGTTTGTTTGAGTATTTGTATTTTTTTTCTTTTCTTCTGTTTTTTTCTTTTTTTTTTTTATTCATTCGATACACTGATATTTTGACCAACTCGAAAGCAAATTTCGTTTAACCGAACGAGTTACGCGATCTATCATTTATATATTTTTTTCTTCTTTCCTTTATTTATTATTTTCCCTTTTTTTTTTACTTTTCATTTTATCTACCCGTACGAATGCGCTGCTCGATGGTGTTATCTATTGAAAAAAAAAATTAAAAAAAATGAAAAAAAAAAAATAGATTTACGAGGAATGATTTTTTGATGGCGCCTATCGTTTAACAATTTGGAAAAAAAAAAAAAAAAAGGTTTTTTTTTTTTTTTTTTTTTTTTTTTTTTTTACAAAACGCCAGCTAGATAAACTAGCCGTTAGGTATGAGCATTCTATATGGATCGATTATTAAACGATTATATACATACTTATGGCATAATCCAACGAAAACTATTTGCTTTTCCCGAGGTGTCATTGGCACTATCGCGTACGCGTAACTTATCGCACCCATTTGGTATTTCTATGGCATTTGATATTTGTTAGCCGGCCCTCTAGTAGAATGCATTCGCGACGAGCGATTAGATCGTTCGCATTGCGTTCTATGCGCAATATAGACGCAATGCGGTTATAAACGTAATATAAATGTGAGATATTAGTAATTCAAATGTTATCGTAAACCAACCGCTAACGTTGAAAAGGAAAATTTATTTCACCTCTTCGAATATAATAATAATAATAATAATAATAATAATAATAATAATAATAATAATAATAATATCCCTTTTTAATCATTTAAATATAATAATATAAT